CAGCGGTCAGCAGCATGACGGAGGCAGCGAGCATCGGCATGACGGCGTCGGGCGTGACCAGCACGGAGGCAGCGGACGTGACCAGCGGGGCTCGCAGAGACGGCGGCGCACATCGAGGACGGCCCGCAGCAGCGCGCGGCAGCGCAAACTCAGCCGTGCCGCCTCGGAGCGCGGCCGCGCCCCGCTGCCCCAGCCCCAGCAGCAGCGCAACGGCGAGCCTGCGGAGGAGCCAGCCCCAAAGGTCCCTTCCCGAAGCCAGTCTTCCCGCAGACGCTCGCCTGCTACAGATGTCACTTTCGACGAGAGAGAGCCCGAGTCGTCCGAGGAGACGGCGGATCGTGCAGCAGGCCCACAGGACGCCCTCGGAGTGCCCCCTGCAATGCCAGCGCAGGCGCGAGCGCATCCCGCCTGGATCCAGCCCCCAACGGACGATGCTGCCTTGGCCACTCACAGGCGCAACCTCCACCGCATGGCAGTTGCGTCTGCGAAGATGCTTCGCGCGTCCCTCGAGCTCGGCCTACCATCCAGCATCCTAGGAGGCGCAGGAGCAGGAATACTCAGTCCTGATGACAATGATGATCGTGGCCAGGACCCCAGAGGCGCGCCTCGCGAGGCAGCGAGCGTTCGTTGAGAGGGCTCAGCGCCGCTCCGAGCGCGCAGAGACGGCGGCGCAGGAGGCCGCGCAGGAGCTCCAGGCCCGCCAGCTGGTCCAGCAGAAGCGTAACAACGAGCTGACCCGCGCGCAGGTACTGCCCCAGCAGCCGGAGGCCTCTTCCCGCTGCCAGTCGCCACCAATGACGCCGAGATGCAGGGCGCCGCAACGCCTGCGGCGGAGGACGCGGCGCCCGCCGTGCCCGCGGCCGAGCTGAGGGCGGCGCTCGCCCAGCTGTCTGGCGCCTCGGTCGCTGCGATCGCCGAGCTCCAGCAGGGCCAGGTGAGCATGGCGCAGCAGATCGCGGGGCTGGCCACGGCGCTGGGTGGGCCATAGTCGGCACTGACGCAGATCGCGGCGGCGGCGAGCATGGCGGTGACTACTGCTACGACGACTCCAGCCACATAGCCCGCTGCCGATGCCAGTCCTGCCCCGACTGCGCAGCCAGCGCCTCGCAACGCCGCCGCCCCGCTGGCCCCCGCCACGCAGCCTGACATGTATGATGTTCGCCGACAGTATGGTGTTTTCGGGGCGTCTTTACAATTCGGGCGCCTGGACTATGCTAAGTTCGGCGGAGGCCAGAATGGCCGACGCCGAAGTCATGAAAGTCTACCAGGCAGCTGCGAAGGTTCGTTTTGTGGAAGCCGAATCGTGCACGAGTGATAATCAAGTGCTTGCCCGACTTCGAAGACATCCGAACGCGGTTCTAGGAAGAGCTACGGGCCGAGTGGCGCGACGCTACTCAGCACGGGTGCAGCGCCGACTCATGGCTGGGGATGGCCATGGACGATTGCTCGTGGCCACGTGTTGCTGCCGTCACTTGTTCTTCTCTCCCGCCGCCGCTTGAAGATTTCAGTGAATGGGCGTCCATCGTTTCACGAAATCAAACGGCTTGGAAACGCATTATCAAAATGGGACTCCACGCCGCAGCCGAATCCCATGCCAGAGACGTTGACGCGGCCAGAGTGGAGGCCATTTTTTTTTCCAGGACGTCCGGCCCTTGGAGGTGCCAAGCCGGATCTGGACTGATGTTAACGGACTATTCGTGGATCCGCTTGCGCGCGTCACAGCTGACACGGGGGATGCTAGTGTCACGTGTCCATGGTGTGCGCGCTCTCCGAAAGCATGGAGCACTACGTGCGCATGTGGCGCGTACCCACCGACAGAAAGCAGCTATGGCACGTGCCTGGGCGTCGCCAGACGGACAATGCCATGCATGCCTATCTGCATTCCATGCTCGTGCACACCTAGTGGACCACCTAGCACATGATTCACCACAGTGTGTATTTATACTGATGAATGATCCTACCACGGCAGCTTCAGCACCAGGAGTTACAATCTCAGGTGGCGCTCCGTGTTATCACATCAATCATCCAGATGTCTCAACCCCCATGACGGGCAGGATCCCAGGTGTGCCTTTGTCTCGTCGTCACGCTGTTGCGCCGACGGTCCGCGCAGCTGGCCCCATCACAGAACATGCATATTCGGTTATTGCCACGATGGACCATGGTACTGCACGCGCGGAGATTGCGGCTGCCGGCCCGGCTCTCCCATCTGGTTTTGCTGCTTGCCTACGACCTCCTACACCTGCGGCTGCCGCCGTTGCGCCGCGGCCGCCGGCCGATCCTGTTCAGCGCACAACGGAAAGATACCCCAGTCGACTCTTCTTAACAGAACGATGCACTGGTATCGCCGCCGAGCCCGTACCGAGAGGCGCCAGACGGGTTGAATACTTTGTCCTAAAACTTCTTCTGTGGACGGCGGAGGGCGGGCGACGTACGGGCACAGGACGAATGGGCGCACTGCAGCAACGACTATGCTATATATATAGATATCCTGCCCGTGGATATAGCCATACATGCAATAGACGGTGATCTTATGAATCGTGACACACTTGCCGACTGGAGGTCCCGCGTCTTTGCACGACGTGTGGTCGTTTCGGGTGGCGGGCCGCCGTGTGGGCCCTGGTCTCCCTCTCGAAGGGCCGAAGGCAGAGGCCCCCCGCCACTTCGGACGCATGATCAGTTTGGGGGAAAGACGGCAGTTACTGAGCGCCAGATGGAAAAGCTGTGGGTGGGCAGTGCACCATACCATGCTATGATTGAGCTATTCGCGGCCCATATGCAGGCTGGGACATCGCGTTGGCTGGAACACCCCCAGCCGTGTGGTTAGAGGCTCCACGGAGTCAGCTCGTTTACTTGTCACCCGATGCGGGCTCTCCAGTTGTCCCCTGCAATCACGACGTCCGACTTTGATCAGTGTGAGCACGGTCGTGCGTCACGGGCTCCCACCAGGATCGTTGCACTCAGGTTGCCAGGGCTGCACGCTGCCCTGCGTGCGACTCTTGGGGACGGCAGACGTTCGCACGGTAGGGACCGACACGAAACGCTTCTTTGGTACGATAAGGATAGGCGGGAGTGGCGCGCAGCCAAAAAGAAGACGTATCCTGCCAGTCTGTGCAAGTGCATTGCTACTGCCATCGCTAACGCACTGCGTGCTATGTGGGACGGTGAAGTTGATTGTACTGATGCCGTTGTTCCGGATGACATGGGGAAGGATTGTAGAGTACGTGATGGGCTACTTCGTTTCCTTGTCGCCTGGGATACGTATTGTGGCACCGACGAGGGGTGGGCTCCCGACGTTGTCTCTCGGCGCACCCGGCGCGTCCGACACGACCCCGAAATGGATCGTTTTCGACCTCTACACGACCCCCCGACATCGGAACAGGCTACCTCTCCCCCCTCACAGGTGCACGACGTTATGGCGGAGGCTAGACCTCCAGGCCCACCAGAGGCTGATGAGGAACAGGAGTACGTAGATGCACGAGCGTTTCTTGGAGACTCGCAGGGGGTACCAGCCCCTCCCCCCCCGTCTGTCACAGTCTCGCTTGCGCCGGAAGTCTTGGAGCGTATCGCGCAAAACCGCGCGCAGGCACGTGTCAGAAGAGCCGTTAGACTCCAAGAGGCGAGACAGGCTCGCCTGCGTGAGGTAGCCCCGTGGACCCTGGATCCGAACTTTGGCAGAGGCTTGTCCTGATAGGATGCTGCCTGTCAAGTATCATGCGATGCTCCTGGGCTGGTAGGTTTGGGATTGGGGGTGGGTGGAAGGGTGGAGGTGCCGAATAGTCAAATGTTGCCTCTTCCACGCCGCCTCTCTCAGCCGTTTTATCTGTGCTGTTATTATTTCCGTGCTCGCATGTTCTCTAGCAGCCTGTCTGGCACAGGGGGTGAATCGCTTTGTGCTGTCGATGTCCTTCCTTCCACGTCAACGTCATGGTGACTCAAGACCGATGCCACTGCTCCCTTCTATGGCCTCGATTGCGTTTTTGGTGCTGCTCTTTCCGTTTGAGCTACGGGAAGGACTAGCGTCGGAGACGCCAGACATTCTCACTGGCCACACCTCTTTTCCTAGCGATCAATGTACGGTGGTCGGGACTGAGGGTGGATTGGTGGGTACAAAAATTGAACTGACGCGTTGGTGCTTGCTGCAGGCACGGGCCGCAGGTCGCGCGTGCGAATATCGTGCACTCCCGCTGGCCCCTGCCCTGCACAGGCCCACGCTAGTGGCTTTCGGCCCTTCGCAAGCCATCTCACCTGCTCCCTTCTTTGATATGCCTCCTCTTGCCTCTTTTCTCCTCCTGCAGCGTTGTGTTGCGCCCTGTTCGCCTTATGACGATGAGGGTGGGGGGGTGGTATGGGTCAGGTCGGGCGGAGCATTTACACCTTGGCGCCCCTGTTGCTAGATACCGTGTGTTCTGCCAGCAACTAGTGAGTACCGCACCAAGCTGACCGCACCCTCGGCGAATCAGAGCGCAATTCCAAACATTTTCCTCCACCCTCCTCCTCCTCCTCCTCCACCCCCTCCTCCTCCTCCTCCTCCTCCTCTTCCTTCTTCTCCTCTTCCTCCTTCTCCTCCTCCTGAGGACTGAGAACTGAGAACTCACGGCAATGCCGTTGTCCTCCTCCTCCTCCTCCTGCTCCTCCTCATCCTTCTCCTTCTCCTCCTCCTCGTCCTCCTCCTCGTCCTCCTCCTCGTCCTCCTCCTCCTCCCTTTCCTCATCCTGTCTCCTCCGCTTCCCCTTCACCAGCGGACGCACACACACCTTTCCCCCCTCAACGCCCCTCACGCGCCTCGCGCTGCCGCCGCTTCTCGCCCTCCTCGCCCTCGCGCGGGCCGCGCTCGGGCCAGGACTGCGGCGCGGCTCAGGCGCCAGCGACGCTGCCTGCGACGTTGCCACCACCACCACGACGCTGATGACGGCGCCGACGACGCCAGTTACGCCGCCGCCGTTGTCGACGACGACGTCGGCCGCGCCGACGCCAGCGGCGGCCCCCCTGCACCGTCGCTC